CCGGTCATGTCAGCCAACAATATTGTCAACTACGTTTTTATTGTAAAATCAAAAAGTTGAGACAGGTCAAAAGCTTAAAAAGATAATTAGTAAAAGCTTGTAGCCTGCCAAGAAGCTTCAGGGAAACCCTTTCCAGTGGTGTTTCTTTGAGCCTGATCGTACGTTCAAAGAGAGCCAAGGCGGTCTTGATCCCCGTTGCATATTGAATATCCAAAGTTCAATAGATTATGAGGCTGAAGCCATGGATGACGTCGCCAACATCCACCAACAGGTCCTCCACCTGGACTTGGACAGCTGCAGAATAGAAGACGTCCTCTGTACGGAATAGGACCGTCGGATGAGTTTATCTTTCTCCTGGAACCTGCAATATAATAAAGTACCACACATAAAAAGGTTTGCAAACATGGGTCATGATTATACGTTATATTATTTTTCATATTTAGATATAATAATCAGAGATTGCCTGCTTCCGTATGCTGTGTGAGTGCATAATTTTTCTTTTAATGTCACGTAATGATTTCGATGTTTGCAGCCATTAACTTTGCATAGACTGTTGAGGCCATTCACAAAATGGTCACATATCACGAGATGAAGTGAACAGGTAGTTTTTAAATTATTTTAACATACATATGACCTTCATGTGCGTAGTACGAAGCGGGCAAATGATTAGGTGATGCATATAATTCGAATATGAATTTAGCTCAATTTGGACCCAATTAGTTCAACGCCAATTCTCGAAAGTCGCACACGATTTGGTCATGTACTAAGCTAGAAAACTGGGCCAGTTTAACTTCGTAATTTGTCAGGACTCATAAGGATCCCCGCCAGGCACGCACAGGAGAAGAAAAATATCGCCCTGCGCAGAACGCGTTTTCGATTTAAACGGTGTTATAAGCTGCGTCTTTCGCTTGAAGAGCTCTGTAGATCAAAGTGATTAACCCACCGCGTATTCTGTGAGGACGTCGACACGAGTTTTGCTGCATTTTTGTGATGGGTAGGTTTTCTTGATCGGTTGCTCTAGCTACTCTGCTCCAGCTGCGTATGTCTGAGGAGTAGCGAGGTGTTCTTCGTGAGCCCACCTTTTCCATGTCAGTTCAAGGATCTGCTAGGACTTTGGCTCAAAAAATACAGTGAGGCTTTCATAGGGCATCTTATCACTGCGCTGCTCAAATATGTTGAGAATCTTTGGAAACAAAAATGATTGTCTGATATTAATAATGTTCTTAGAAATAATTAGTATAAATCTGAAGAAGCGTAAAAGGTTGAATATAGTAGATGTTAACCACGGAAAAAACAAGGACCCTACTGAATAAAACAACAACCTCTTCGCATTCCCTCAAAGTCCTAAAGAGATCAACAATGATAGACACTTCTTTGCCGTAATGGAAGTGGAAGTTATACCTGTTCCAGTGACATTCAGCGCCTGGCGAGAGTCCATTTAGCGCATAATCAAAGCAGTTCGCTATTGCCGGAGAATAGGAAGGGACCTCTTTGCCTCCGCGGCTGGAGTAATAAATTGGGAGTGTGAATGACTTTTGGCTGATCGCAACTACACATCAAGGTTGATTTTGAATCCTGAATTGTATATTGCGCCGTTTATAACAATATTCAGCGAAAGAAAAATATCTCATTTTGACTTTTTTAATATATTATACATGGTAATACACGAAACCGATTAATCAATTAATTAATCGAATAAGAGAAAATATTTAATCGTGCTAACATGTTTTTTTACAGACGTTTAGACCTACAAGTAATCAAGCGATTGAGATGCTTTGAAAGACTAATATATGAATGGTTTACTGAATTTCCCCTGAGAGCTCTTTCATTTTGTAGTCTTTTTATTTGAGCAAGAATTTTCTAGACAAGCCAATATCTATGTCAATATTTCGGTATTTAACATTTGTGAACTTAAATAGATATTCCGAGAATATTCCTGCTTACAACATGAGCTCGCCAATTTCGGCAAGCCGTTTACTATGCGACTTTCGTTTTCTAGCACGAATTATTCGACTATAACACCAGTGGACAGCAGACTATTCCGATGGCCTTAAATATAATTTGTCGGAACCAGTACGCTCTAAGCAAGTCGCACTAAGAGAAATATGAAGCGCCACATCTTACCTGAATCATCAGTCTCGTTCACGAACACCTTGAGGGCCGATTCTAAAAACGCTTGGCGCACTCCTTTCTCTGTTCGACTGCCACCACCAACGATAATTTTTGTAGATGTCTTGTAACCCTATTGAAAAAGGCCAATATGAACTCGGCTTATTGGAAATATTGTATTCCAATGAAGTTGATGGAAACCAATAAAAACTTATTGTTATCCGATTAACCCAATACGCACGATGGGAATTCATATCGGAGCGCAATATCCCGATATTGTATGCGGTTATTGATATACAACAGGATATTGGAGCACAATATCCCGATATAACTTGCGGTTATTGGTATACAACACGATATCGAAGCACAATATCCCGACAGAACTTACGGTTATTGGAATAGAATACGACACCGCGTGCATATTGGTGACCGACATGGACATACTGTGCGGCCACACGATATATAAATATCGGTCGTCAATCACGGGTTCAAAGGAGAATAGAATATCGCGTGGATAAATCTCAGAACGAATTCCAAGTTACCAACATGAATTACGTCGGCATATACCGCGGACTAAGAAGATACGTAACACAGTATTGATCGCCTGTGAAGCAACATGTGGATATCGGTACGCCCACAATACGACATCGCGTGAATGATATTGTAGAACAGCAGGAGTTACCATACGGCAATACGAGAGAGAACGATATTGGAGGTGGATACACACAGAACACAAACGTTCCGCGTTGCAAACACATTCACATTGATCGAAAGCGCAAGTGTACGTACGGCACACAGTACACAGCCTCGAGCGCTTGAAATGCTAGACAACCACAAAACCATTCAGAATAACTAGCTGGGACACCCGCGACTTACCTTTCAATGAGAAAGCCCAATAACGACGTGCTCATTGGAGTGATCGTTTTCAAACAAATGTTTATTGCAGTTTTAATGCAACAAAAGTTAGGTTACCGATGTTGGAACCCAAATCGAACGCGATACGTGACAATGTCAGTTCGCACGATAAAATAATGAGGATTAATGGGCTTGACAGGTCACGTGCTTCTTACCCGCACATTTATCGATATTGACCCACCTTTCTTGGTAATCCTACGTCGAACACAAAATCCACAACCACACGCGAGCACATTTCACCCACCACTCTTCGTCGCCTGTATCGCAAGATTCACACACTGTAAAAAAACGACGGGAAAAATACGTGCATTTGCGCCATCAAACGATACGTTACAGACTCGTTTTATGAGAAAAGTTTCCATCGTCAACCCGCGCGCGCGAAAGCTCGAGCGCTCGAGCTTCGGAGGCAGCATAGAGTAATATACACAAGGTAAAGAGCGGACACTGCCATAGGCCCCAGCGGCCCAGATAGAGCAGTGACAACTAGCGCTCTTAGCGGACGGTATGAAACACAATCTGGTTCCGGTTCCGGTCAAGTTAGTTTCGGTTTCGGTTTGGGCATTTTTGTTTCGGTTTTTTGGTACCCTTCTCCTTCTCTTTTTCTCTCTTTCTTTCCTTCTCGCCTCCCTCCTCGCTAGGCTCTCGGGAGCTCCTTGGCTCCGGAGCCGATGCTTCTTTTTGTTGTTGTTGTTTTTATGTTATAAGTTTTGCAATATACGATATAAGTTTTGCAAAATGTGTAATGTGTCGAATAAAAGTTCAACTTATTGAACACATTGAAGTACATAATCGCCACATTGACTCCTGGCTGGTGGAGCATTTTGGGAGGTTTTGGGGTCAACAACAGTAAGTGGTTTGAAAACATTTTATTGGACCACATTCATATGTACATTATTTACTTCAGAAGCTCTGTATGTTTTATAAGAAATAGATAATCACAAAAATAAATGAGTATGAAGGAGTTCGGCATATCGTACACTTCGTAATAGATTTTTAGCGGAGTCAAGTTTACAAAAGCTTTCCACAGGGAACATGCTGAATGATCCATTCACCTTCACGCCGACTCGGGCACGGTAAGTAAGTGCAGAAATAAACAAGACATCGCTATCATTACCAGGCGAAGCACACACCGGATAGTACAAATTCCAAATTACCGGCTAATATAAAACACACGAAATGGCATAGCCTGAAACTCGCTGCGGGTGAGCCATTACAAAAAAAAAAAAAAAAAAAAACAATGAGAACTTTATTCGGAATCTGACAAGATTCAACCATAGATATTCAACCATGATTCAACGTCCCTAAACATTCCCCGAAATACATTTGTTCAGGACAGGAGTATTACTTCAGAAAAACAAAAACGTCCAAAAAATATAGACGGGTACAGAAGTGGACACATTTTCTTCCAAACATCTATGCCTCTATAAACTATTTTCTATAGAAATTCTGCAGAAAGTGGATAAATATTTGTGTAAGGGGGCCGTGATACACATTTCCTGGAAATAAAGAAAACACATGTTTGGAGTGCAAGCTACACTGCCCAATTAATAAGCAATTTCTGTTTTTGATTTGGCAACCGCCTCTGTTAATACGCTATTAAGCTATTAACAGTTAAACTTATCAAGTTGCTTACTAGCAACCGAAGAGTGTAACCGAACTTTGTCCAAGTTCCGGTTAAGGAACCGAACATGCCAACACAAGCGTATTCGGCAAAACATTTTTAAAAACCTTTTGTGACACTCCTCTGAGCAAAGGCTGAAACCACCCAGCTCTGAGAGTGTGTGATACAAGGCAGCACACACTCCTCGAACATGCGCTACACTCTCTATTACGGCAAGAAAGTGATTTTCTAGTTTCCGAATAAAGTTAAAGGCAGCCTGTGATGGTACTACTAGGTTTCCGAAGAGTTTCCCAGGCACGTGGTATGCTTTAAGCATAAGAAAATACTGGTGAGGCCTGGTCAAGTTGTGAGACTCATCCTTTAGCAGCTTAGAACAGCCACAGCTGCGGGTTGTCTGTTCAAGGAAAAGTTTGATCAAATAGCCTCCAACGTAGTAAGTGCACGAGTCGTCAATTATATTAGACCTGATGTCTGATGCCAGCTCAGAAATATCTTCTAGTGGCGGGAAGTTATCAACTGGAAAACATTCCACATTGTCTGCAATGGAACTTTCATGGTGCGAAAATATTGGCAACTCCTTGAGGAGGTCAGCCTTTTCATCCTCTACATTTCCATTGTTAGAGAGTCTGAACAGTTTTTTTATCCCGATGTGTTTCAGTCCCGAGGTGAACTGATTCACATTTGGGTTTGTATTGCAGCCCAGCATTTGTCTTATTGCCCCAAAAATGTTCTCCAGTGGGTCTTGCTGCAGGCGTCGAGTAAGTAAGAATTTAAAGCCATAGCTGTTTGAAAGCTCATCCCAGAGCATGAGGACACTCCTTATTGTAACTTGCCACCCTATGGTGGTTTGTGGCTGCCTCCTACTTTGGAACTTCCATGTTGAAATCCATGCGAGTTGTTGGTGAAGGAAATCGAGTATCTCAGATTCTCCTTTCAAAATTGCATGACGCAACTTCTGCCCCGTCTTCTTGAATTGCGAGCTATTTAAACAATCAAAAAGTCTGTCCATTCTATCACAAAAATAGGCTGTAGCCATGGCTGCCTCAGGAAGCTCCTTGGCATAAACAAGGGATAGAATGGCAAGACAGACTGAGGCACTCAGGACCTGTGTGGCACGCTTAACTTTCATGTTACTGAAAGGTTTTTGAAAAATGTGCCTCTCAGTAAGTTTTGGAGCCAATCGCAACCTCATCTCATGAGTAGAACGATAAAGTTCAACAATATGGGACCATTCAATGACCTCATCCCCAATGCAAAGTTTGTGGGCTTGGAGATTGTTTCTTGTTGTTTTGATGAGGTGCGGAACATCAAAGATAAAGTAAACACGTTCGTTGTCGACTTCAAAAAATGGCTTATCAGCAGATACACCAAGTTGGTTGGCTAAGCTTACGTTTGAAGCCCCCTGATCACAGACCACGGCCTTCACAGTGAAGTCAACAGTCTTAAGCTCTCGAATGAGAGAAATCAGGAGGCTCCGGATAACAGAAGACGGTGTTGAAGTGTGCCCAACAGTGTATGCGAGGGGCTGAACCCACCTCCTGGAAATTCCAGAGAGCACAACAACCAGGGCTCTATCTGCTATGGTCGAGGTTCGTTCAACACCGTCATCTGTAAATCCATGGATAATGTCGTGTGCAGGGTCGTATGTCAAGTTCTTCTTCAAAACAATCTCATCAAAAATCAAGGTGCAGACACGATCACGTGCATTCCAAGACCGCGTTTGAGATTCGATGGAGGACATGACACCAGGTATAATACCAGGAGTCATTTTTACGTTCGACAGCCACCTACGCAGTGAACGCTGAGTGGGAAGCGTTAAATGTAACGATAGAAAACGGTATGCCTGTGGGCCATGAAAGTTCAGATGCAAAGCAAACTTCTTGAGCCACAGTGGAAACCGTTTTCCTCGTCCCTTGCGCCCTAATTTTACATGTGACGAGATAAGTCCGAAAACCTCGTCTGTCACAAATGGACGCACCATTTCAAGTGCTTCGTCAGCTGTTTGAGGCATTTGCTTCTGTTGCTTGCGCAGTCTTGATATTGTCTTTCTGTAACTGGAAACCTTTGCTTGTAGGCGTTTTATGACGTCCCTGGGCCTCCTTGAGAGCTTGGCGGAAGCAGGTGTTGAACGACCAGAGCCTGCCAAAACAATACCGAAAGCACATAAGTCAGGCTACAAAAAAATGATAAAAGTAGAACCCGACAGAAACAATACCGCCAAATACCGACCACTTACCCATGCTGCAATATGTGCCCCCTTCCCCCCCCCCCCCCCCCGCCACTTTCGAAACGTTTGCGAAATAAACAAAGCACGTATCAATGTCCAACTCCAGACTTAAAAACCCACCCACCTAACATAAATGCTCATCCGCTTCAGCTGCTTCTCCAAGCACACCAATGTAAAAGGTGAAGCTCGACACGTGCACGGGCCTCCAAAGTGGTGACCCCCCTTCCCCCCAACCTTTGGCTGTTCTGCAATTTTGCTTTCGGGCATAAGAAGCATACATCTCTGCGTTTTTCATGATTATCTCCAAATTGTGAGTGGGCATTTGCTCCGCATGTTCTGTTACCACTGTTTATACACAAATGGCTGCTATCAGAAAAAAAAAAAAAAATTAAACTAGCTTTTAGTCTTTCAGCTGCAATAATTTCACCACAAAAACTGTATTAACATAAATTGATGAATCTTTCAAATATTGAATAATCGCGTAGTCAATCACTACATTCAACAGGGTCATCCAAAATGAGAACTGTATGTAACAGGATTGGCAAATTACTACAATAAGCAGAGATTACTAGGAAACCACCCCTTTTCAGAGCATTTCACGGTGCCACACTTCAAAGCTTATGTTCCCCGTCACCTAGAGCCCTGTAGTGATGTTCCAAGTTATTAAGGCCAGCACAAAAATGAAGTGACAAATAATGTCACCTAATTTGAAGCAATGTGCATACTAAATGCAGAGGTACTTAACACAATTTTGCAGTGCTTAAATCTGTAGAGAAGTCAATTTATACTCACAGGTTCCAGATGATTCAGAATAGCCAACAGACGAAGATGGAGTGCTGTGGTCCAAAAGCTGGCCAGGAGAGCTGGCCATCCCCATTTGCTCTGGAAAATGTGTCACTGTTAAATACGAATGTTTGCATAAACCCAATTTGTGTAGGAGATTTATTTTACCACAGGCCGCTATGGAATGTGACGCGCTGGTACCCTCCAGTGAAATACCACAGGGGCTTGTCGCCATCTGTTGTTCTGAAAAACGGTTGCTTGTCAGATATGAGCAGCTGTTTTAAAAGAAATGATCTCACCATGAGCAGCTGCCGAAGGTGACGTTCCACTGCCTTCCATTCGAACATCCCCGGGGCTTGGTTCCGCCATCGGCTTTTCTAAAAAGGGCTTCCTTGTCAGATATGAGCCGCTCATTTAAAATAAATAATCTCACCAGAAGCTGCTGTGGGATGCGACGTTCTGCTTCCCTCCAATGGAACGTCACAGGGACATGTCGCCACCGGTTCTTCTGACAAATGTTTGGTTGTCAGCTATGAGCAGCTGTTTTAAAAGAAATGATCTCACCATGAACAGCTGCCAAAGGTGACGTTCCGCTGCTTTCCATTGGAACATTCCCTGGGCTTGGTGCCGCCATCGGCCCTTCTGAACGACATTTGCTTGTCAGGTATGAGCCCCTGTTTTAAAATAAATGATCTCACCACGAGCAGCTGTTGAAGGTGACATTCCACTGCCCTCCAAGGGAACATTACCGGGGCTTGGTGCCGCCAGCGGTTGTTCTGAAAAACGGTTGCTTGTCAGATATGAGCAGCTGTTTTAAAAGAAATGATCTCACCATGAGCAGCTGCCAAAGTTGACGTTCCACTGCCCTCCAATCGAACATCCCTGGGGCTTGGTTCCGCCATAGGCTTTTCTGAAAAGGGCTTCCTTGTCAGATATGAGCCGCTCATTTAAAATAAATAATCTCACCAGAAGCTGCTGTGGGATGCGACGTTCTGCTTCCCTCCAATGGAACGTCACAGGGACATGTCGCCACCGGTTCTTCTGACAAATGTTTGGTTGTCAGCTATGAGCAGCTGTTTTAAAAGAAATGATCTCACCATGAACAGCTGCCAAGGGTGACGTTCCGCTGCTTTCCATTGGAACATTCCCTGGGCTTGGTGCCGCCATCGGCCCTTCTGAACGACATTTGCTTGTCAGGTATGAGCCCCTGTTTTAAAATAAATGATCTCACCACGAGCAGCTGTTGAAGGTGACATTCCACTGCCCTCCAAGGGAACATTACCGGGGCTTGGTGCCGCCAGCGGTTGTTCTGAAAAACGGTTGCTTGTCAGATATGAGCAGCAGTTTTAAAAGAAATGATCTCACTATGAGCAGCTGCCAAATGTGACGTTCCACTACCCTCCAATGGAACATTCCCGGGGCTTGGTGCCACCATCGGTCCTTCTGAAAGATGTTTGCTTGTCAGGTATGAGCCTCTGTTTTAAAATAAATGATCTCACCATGAGCAGCTGTTGAAGGCGACGTTCTGCTGCCCTCCAATCGAACATCCCCGGGGCTTGGTTCCGCTATTGGCTTTTCTGAAAAGGGCTTCCTTGTCAGATATGAGCCGCCAATTAAAAATAAATAATCTCACCATAAGCTGCTGTGGGATGCGACCTTCTGTTTCCCTCCAATGGAACGTCACAGGGGCATGTTGTTGCCACCGGTTCTTCTGAAAAATTTTGGCTTCTCAGATATGAATACCTGCTTATAAAGCTTCTGATGGAGAATTCCTGCTACAGGCGAATGATAGGTTAGTAGTGTTACCTTTCAAAGGAACAGAAAATATTCAGCACTCTGAAAGGGCATTGAAATCCCTTAGTGATGAAAATTAATGTTGAGCAATATTAATCAATGGCGAAACACAGGATCCGGCGGGTCTTGAAAAGGCACTTAGGAATCTCGGAATATCTTAAATTTTAACGGCCCGGTATGCTAATGTATGAGAACATAACAGCATGGGCAACTAAAGCTAACCTTGTAAACATGAGTGTCAGGAAGATGACTCAGACGGCATGAGTCCTCTTGTCGAATTGGATATGAACAGGGGAACGTTGACCTGCCTTATCTTTCATTTATATCACTATTGTATGCTACAAACCTAGGATGCCCTGTAAGAAGTCATACTGCACTGGCAGAACTGCCCTTCTTGATTGCAGGACACAAATTACTGTATTTCAATGCAGCTGACCTTGTGCTTTAAAACAATTTTCCAACAAACTGGGACGGATATTGGTTATGGGCAACAGTATGCGCAGGGACATTACAGGGATAATGTACAAAAATGCTAAATGAATTAGATAAAATATTTAAGCACAAACTAATAATAAAAACTAATTAAATCAGATTAAAACTTTTGAGACTGTCAAGCATCGTTGACAGCATGCTGGCAGCTGGCATCAGTGACGTAGAGTTGGTGCTGCCTAAAAGCAAAATATAACAGAACTCCGTACAGACTGCAAATAAAGATTATGTTACCTTGGGCTGTTACAGATGGCCTAAGCATTTGCGGCCGAACCGTAGGGATAGCCGTTTTGGTCAGCCTTGTCTTCCCAGGATCCAAAAAGTCCTTGGCTGTGAAATGCTCACTACACAGGCGATACCCCTCATAGAGCTCCTTGGCTGTCTTTCCTAGGAGCTCAGGACGTCTGGCGTACTGTAGCCATGCTTTTGACCTGCAGAACATTGTATATACCACCAAGGTTACACATACTGTAAGGGTCAAATAAACTCCAAATATATGAGCCTCAATTGTTTTTAATGTTTCACTGCCGTTTGGTATGGCACCTCTCAGCAAAGTGTTCACGTTCTGAAGAGTTTGTTTTTCTTCTTCATGCTACTGTACAGTGCAATACAGCTAAACAAAGAGATTGCATACCCACCAGGGTATGCAATCAATTTAGGCCCGAGGCAAGATAACCTTAAAATGCTGAAAGATATTGGTGTCCATAAACCAAAGTGACATGGAAGAAATCGTTTTTGCTATAGTTTGTTGCAACCTAAGACCGAAGGGCGAGGGTAAGACGGGCCGGGGAGGAGGGAGCAGACGGAACACTGGAGAAGAAAGGGGAAACCTCCTTCTCTCCTTAGCGTTTCGTGTTCCGTCTGCTTCCTCCTCCCCGGCCCGTCTTACCCTCGCCCTTCGTTCTTAGGTTGCAACGGACCATAGTTCTCATTTCAAAATGTTATGCTTCGATCAAATGTTGTAAGGACTGCCTTAGAATCTATACGCACCTTGGGTCACGTGGAATTCGAAAAAACTTGACATGTGGCTTCTTTGTTTCCCATTGTTGGCACACCAGACCACGCAGCAGTAACTTCCGCAGGACATAATCTGGGCCAGCGGGGGAGGGAGAGTTTAACATCTACTGAAGCCTAGCCAATGGCGCGTTCCTTTAGTTCAACGGAAGGTAGCACAATAGCGGCTGGTGAAAAAATAAACTGATGGAGATTTAAACAATGTCACAAGATATTACCATGACGCAATGTTACAATAAACCCATGACACGTATTAACACAGACGGGTGAAAGAAATATTGTGAAGTTTGTGAAGTTTACGCAATCTTCATGCATCATAATCGAACGCAGTGTCTAGAGTGCCATGCCACAGCACTCCAACCAAGTGTTCAAGTGACGTCTGACTGGTTTTACCCAACGTTCGAATGCCATCCTTAAGAGTAAAACAGGAATTTAAGCATAGTACAGCGGTACGGCCAAAATAAGTAAGACTAATCTACCTCTACTGTTTCTGGTAAATTGGCCGTCAATATTTTGAATTTTGCTTTCTTACATAGAAAATAATGTCAGCGAACCATAGACCTAAATTTCGAGCTCCATTTGGTGATGTAGCGATGTAGTGGGAACCATGTTTGAATAGTCCTCCGTACATTCTCAGAGTGTCCGAAAGTTCCATGGATGTCCTATCCTGGATGTCCCGTGGACGTCCATAGGATATATATGCTGCTAGGGAACTTTATTAAATATCTAAATTTGATACTGCGTCTCGCAGTTTTTTCCCCCGAAATTCTATGCATGTGTTTGTCGTCGTAACTGCAGCATACTGCAGCTCGTATGGCGGTACACACAAGTCATGTAGCTCGCTTGAGCGACGTTCGCTGGTTCGCTTCTTTTGCACGTACTTTATGTGATAAATCAAAGCAGCGACGCGCCATTGAAAGAATGCATGTCAAAATATCAATATGACTCAATGGACACCTTGCCCCGAATTCGTCGCACTGCGAACGACTGTCGACCCAGCTTTAGTCAGTGAATTAACTTCAATCTATGACGGCATAAGTCCTCTCAACAGCAATCCACAGATGTCTGATGGCACTTGAACACGCATGAACAAAGCTCTGCCCGAGGGGCGTCGGACGGCAACCCAGACTCAGCAAATTCAAAAGCCAGCTTTACAACACAGTCGAGAGACAAATGAGCAAAACGACTTACCTTTTGTTTAAAAATCTAGGTCCAGGCAGCCCGACGGAATTACGAGAAGCTCAAGCCATATCAAGCCGCCCAGCTCTACAAACTCACGCCGAGCATGAGAGCACGCGGCGGTCATTCGTCACTTTGTTTCAAGCAAAGTCGACCGAACACGCTGTAGCATAAAACGGAGAAGAACGGCACGGACGGCACGGACGGTACGGCACGGACGAACGAAGCACGGACCGCACGGACGAGCAGAGGTGACGGCGTGCAAGCAGACAGGCCATGGCAGGCGCCATTCATCACGTGGTTTTTGTGACGTATTTGATTAACACTATTTAGTCGTTTTAAGTACTTTAAAAAACTCTAAAGCATAAAAATTTAGAAAATAAATACTTTTCAGAGAGAAAGCTGTAATTAATATTAACCAAATTACGGAAAAGCGCCACGTAGCGGAGGGTATGAATCCTACTATCTGGGCCGCGAATCGGCTTCAGTGTCCTCTCTTTACGTTTACTATATTACTCTATGGAGGCAGTTCGAACTCCGAAGGGAGGCGAGCCCAGCGAGCCGGCGCGCCTACGCGCATGCGCTGCCAGACAAGCGGCTGAGCGAGCCGCCGAGATTGCGCCGCCATTGCGCTACGACCGCGACCGCGCCAACTCGGCGGAACCGACGGATAACAGCTCGTCAAGTTCGTCGCGTACTTTGCTTTTGGGTTCGAAGTGAAACCAACGCACTTTCAATCGCTTCGAAAGGTACGTATAGACGACTTTATTACTTGCAGCATTGAGTGCTTTGGTATACGCAGATCAAAGTGAACACTGAAGGACAGAAGGGAGACATGATGTTTTGAAATCGCAGCTTACTTGAACGCATGCGTCCCCTGCTGAAAGCGTCTGGCTGTGCTCTGTTGCAGACGTCATTTCGACTGCGTGTACTCTGATGTAACGTCAGTCAGTGTTTACACTCGGCTAGCTATCACTCGGCTTGTTATCTCATGTGCGAAATAGACGTAGAAACCAGCGCCTCGTCTCTTTCGGATATTAAACCTCCAGCCCCCTGGCTCCCAGCGTGCTTACCGGCGCAAACCGTTCGACGTGTTGGATTCGTGGGCTCGTTCGAAGAGGCGTTGTTTAACGCTCGCGAGTCGCCGAAGTGTTACCGGAGCTTCTCTTTACGAAAGTCGCGATCGACGCTGGGCTCTGAGCTCATACTTTTTTCTTCCCTGGTAGACTAAGAGTGCCGACCATTCATCTGTGGTGCCGACTGGCGCCGTACTAAGTTGAGAAAAGCTAGCGAGTCTGTCAGATTTTCGTGACGCCGCCCAACTGCTCTGATACCGGCTGCGCTCAACAAATAAAGTAAAAAAAAAAACGCGTTTTTTTATTTTCAAAATGTTTTTTTTTTTTTTTGCCATGTTTCATTTTAGTCGCTGCAAAGTAAATCGCGGCCGTACGTCGGTTGACTCCCGATTACTGTCTCTACATCGTAGATTGTCTCACCACACTGGTGCCTCGTTGGTGTGATCTTATTCTGATATCGTTACATCTTGCTTTTTCATCTTGGCACACTTCTAGACGACCTTCTACACGTTGCACTCCTTGTCGACATGTTGCTGGTGTTAGAGACAAATCTGAAGTCGCTGTTTGCTCACTCCTTTGGTGCACATATTTCATGTTCAACATCAGGTATCTGAAGAAGGCGCCATGAAACCCTGGAGTTTGTTTAGAGGCACCTCAACATACTGTATTCAAGTGTCGTTTTGTGTGTTATAGTTTCCTACAAAACCAAATTGCACTTTGTTCGTAATATACCCTATAACTGTTCACTACAATTAAAGTTGCTACGAAACATTGGCCAAGAGAGGTGACTCGGCCAACGCAGCCTGAAAATTCCTCGCCTAATTTTCTTCATGGGTCATTTTGGACATCGACAAATTTTCTTGTGAATAATGAGTGTTATGCACTTGTGTTCTACTTTTCGTACAGGTACTTCAGTTAGATAAACCCCAGCAAAGGCAGCAAGACCGTCTCATGGGGTCACACCAAGGATGACTGCATTCCTGCTCGAGTCCCGAGTTTTGTCACCAAACTTCACTGAACATAATGGTACATTCCGATTCCTTAACTTTTTCTTCTGAAATGTGTTATTTTTTTATTGTTGCTTTTTTCTATTGAAAAAAGGGTAGTACAACGTTTAAACACCCAATTTTTTTTTTCTTTTTGTAAAATGTGTAGTACATCGTTTAAACACCCAAGCGTTCATAAATGGTCTCTGTACCAGACAATAGGGTGTCTTATACTCTGTTTCATACTTAGCGTGCAACGCTGTCAAAGGTACTAAAGTGGTGCGCATGAGAAAATAGAAAAAGTGTTACTCCGCGCGTTTCGTGGACGAGTGGTAGAAGGCGCTGCTCTGGAGATATTGACGTCTCGGTGGCCGTGGTTCAAACCCATTTTACGCGCAAAGTTTTTTTTTTTTCTTTCTTTTTTAGACATTCTTTTTCTGCAAGATTGTGCGCATTGACGAAGTGCATATTTCAGTTCCTCCTTCTTGATTTTTATTTATAAGTCGCCGAGAGGCCAGATTTCTACCATCTGGTCTGCCGCTTTGCAAGTGTTATTTGCCTCCAGCACCGAGTTATATTTTTCTGTCGTGCAGCGTGGAATGAGGAATCGCCCTGATAGCGGCCTTGTCCCAAAATTTATAATAAAACATTAACGACAATAGTTGTGGCCTGTACAGTTTATTTTGAAATAGCTGTCAAGGGTAGGAATCTCCCTCTCGGAGCACTTGCAATGCACCTTCAGGCGAATGGCGTTCTGTGTGAACTCGTCATGCTTGACGGTCCCCGGTGCTCGAAACTTTCTTGTTGCGAGGTCTTTGCTTCGGGGACGCCACCTTGCCAGATAGGCACTGTGCCTTGCACTTCGCGACAGTACAGGGCACACTCCAGGTCGTTACTGGCCGTCTCCAGGACTTCACGACCGAATTCTCCGGGGAATGTGTTCTTATACTCCCGTACACATTGGCGATCATCTGCTTCCACTCTTTCAAGATTTTCGCACAACGAATCTTCGAAAACATCCGAGCAGGAAAGGTACTTGAGCTTGCTGCGTAAGACGCCATCTTCTCAAAACCAGCGGCTGCCACACGGATGAACACGAAAACAATTTAAGGTAATTTACATTATCTTTTCCTTTTTCTTGAAAAAAATTTGTGCTCCGTTGAAATCATAACGACAATATCAGTTACTAGCCCCGAGGAGGCACATTTTCCGACTTTTTAAAAATTTTCTGCAGGGGATGCACTATCTTATGGGGCGAACGTAGGCACGGTCAGCAATGCAAACCGGTGCGCTAGCTTTGACTGCGTTGCACTCTATGTATGAAACAGAGTATAGGATCGCTTCAGACGGGGCAACCTTTCCAGCAATTTTGGGGCTGCTGGCGGGTTGTTCCCTAGTTTTCCCTAGATCGACACGAATTGCTGAGATTGGGTCCGGCTAGAAGCGGACGAGCAACTCTGACTACTCGGAGATGTTTGAAGCGGCAGCAGCCAATCAGGAATGCAATATTTTCACGTGACACCCCTGTGGTCGTGATGATGAGAACTGAGGACTTAGTTCTGGTTTGAAATGGATCATTTTTGAAAATAAACTGTTTCAAAAAGACGAGTTAGTATTCTCAGCCCAATTTAAAGATATAAAAACGTGTTTTTAGGATATAACTGTGTGTCTAAATACTGTAAGAAAAATCAAATTTCATGATGATGATGGCAAGTCGTAGCAATTCGGTTGCTGCATGTAAACGCGGGCGGCCCGTGTTGCTGGTGTTGCGACATGAAGTTGCTGGG